ACAAGGTGAAGGGAACCTCTGAATGACTCCTTTTGACAGCTGGTGTAGCAAATGTTTATTGATAGATGGACTTTAAATCATGTGTGTCTATTTATGTGTTAACTAAAATAGTATTTCTCCAATGTGGAGATTGTCACATGGGTCTGACAGCAACTTCCAGCAACTCAGCCAATAATATGCAGGTGGAAGAAAGCAGATCTGAAAAACCATGATTGAGCAATAATTCCATACTGAATAAAATGGAGCATATTAATGTAAAAAGATACCAGCAATCCAGACAATAAATTTTTGAATAGATTAATTGGAGACAAAAGCATTTACTGCTTTAAAGATAGATTACAAAAGTTAAGATACTAGAAAAAAATAATAAACTTCTGATTAAAAATTGGTTAGAATTCTCAAGATAAAATACTGCTTAATTCAATTATTCGGCAGGGTAATCAGCTCAAATATTAAATATTGTTTTACTCAAAGTCATTTCTCTGTGCCACAGCTACCATTTAATTAGAGCAGGGGTCCCCAACCTCCAGGCTGCAGCCTGTTTGAAACTGGGTCACAGGAGAAATAGGCAAGCCACTACACGCGCAAAGCTCCACTTACACAAGTGGTACGTGCATGTGTGTGAAGCTTCACTTGTGCAAGCGGAGGCACTTGGGCTTGCATGTGAAACTTCACTCGCCAAGCAGAGGGAGTTTGTGCTCGTGCACAAACCTCCATTTGTTCGAGCGGAGAGAGCTTGCACTCATGTGCGAAGCTCCATTTGCATGAATGGAGCTACACGCGTGAGTGTTCTCCACACAAATAGAGCTTTGTGCATGAGCACAGGCACTCTCTGCTCAAGTGCCCTCTGCTCATGTGAGTTGAGCTTGCATGCAAGCACAAGTATCTGCCACTCACACGAGTGGAGCTTTGCAAGCATAAGTACCCTCCCACTTGTGTGTGAAGCTCCATTTGCACAAGTAAGGTGTGTGTGTGTGCACCACACGCAAAAATGGAGCTGTGTGCATGCCAGGCCATGCCTGGATGCCAAGCTAGGAACCGTTGCATTAAATTAATGGTTAATGTTGACATAATCACACTTTGATGAGTATGATTTAATGATATATGCTCTTGTTGATGTTGTTTAGTACTTCTGCTATTTTGGAGGCAGAAATACGGACTTTTAGACAAAAAAGTGGTTTCCTGTTTTTTGTTTTGAAGACCTAGAAAATGGTTATCAAGAATGCAATTTTGAATACAGCTGGATTTTGCTAATCTACAAAAAATCTTTCTTCCTGGAAGTCAATCCTCATCTCAGTTCTGTTTTCCATACTACCTAAATGAGGAAAGGGGTAGAAGAAAACTGCTTCCCTGTACAATAGCAAGAGGAAACAAGAAAGCAGCTGCTTCCTTCTATACAGTACATGGAAGAACTGCTGCCTCAAGGAGAGAAAATCTTCCCAAAACATCTTTCTGAGATATTCTGGCTTTCTGAGCCAGATCATGGAATTGGATAAGTGCCCCATCTCTGCTTTAAAAGAGTGGTGCCACAAATCTGTTCATCTTCTTCAGTTCCAGTATAGATCAACAAAGCTAAAGTGAGCTTTGGGAAGTTATTTTATATAAAAATGTTGTAGATACATGAAATGTAGAATAATTCCACATTTTAAAAGTCTAGATCAGTTTATATAAAAATTGGAGTACAATATTTTTTAAAAGCTGCATTCAATCCAAAAATTAAAACACAAAAACATCAGATCTTAGAGCCCAGAGGTTGTATAGGACATTGCTTAGTGCCTTTAGAACTTCAAGAAGGAATTAAATGGCTTTAACAAAAAACCCAAAGCCAAGATATTTGCTGTTGAAAGTGAATTGGAAACTGGAATATTATCTTAATGTTCAAAAAGGTTGATTGGCGATAGAAGCCAAGATATTTAGATCAGTAATATTTACCAAACAACATAATTCCCATAAAACGTGCTATAAATACTGTCTTGGCAACTATAGGACTTACCCTCCTACTAGATATCACTTTTTTTAAAGAAATGGATGGAGTGGACAAGCTGCAAAGCAAGTTTCGTCAATTTATTTACAAGACTACCTTTGGGTTGTATGTAAATCCATAAGCATTTTTAGACAATAAAATTAGTGAATGGCCAGGGTTCAGAATTGTTTGAAAGTATGGCCATATCCCTGGAATAAAAGATAGATTTACTTTGGAATAAAAGAGAACACTTTATAAGTTTTAGAGGGTGAAGAATAAACTCATTGGAATTTTATGAGAATTTTTGTGACATGTTCTTAAAATCCCAAATATGCTCTCCGCCTTAAAAGATTACCTAAATTTCTGTTCTGCTACAGAGTTTCTACTGAATGGTTCTATTTAAGATTCTGCTAATGTGGAGAAGATATTATACAATTCATTGTCTGTGACGGGTCACCAACCTTTCGGACCTCAGGAACACTTAAATTCATAATTTTAAATCCAGCGGACCATTAATATGAATTCAGCATGCCACTTGCTGAAGCGCCTGGACTCCCAGTGATAGGATGGGGGCCTTCAGGCATTCTCTCTCTCCCACTCTCTCTTTCTCCCTCTCTTTCTCTCATCTCTCTCCCCACTTTCTCTCCCTTTCTCCCCCCTCTCTTTCTCTCTCCCCCTCTCTTTCTTATCTTTCTCTGTCTCTCTCTTTCTCTCTCTCTCTCCCCCTCTCTTTCTCTCTCTCCCCCTCTTTCTGTCTCATCTCCCCCCTCTCTCTTTGTCTTTCTCTTTCTCACCTCTCTCCGCACTCTTTCATCTCTCTCATCTCTCTCCCCCTTTCTTTCTCTCTCTCCCCCACTCTTTCTGTCTCATCTCTCCCCTTCTCTCTCTCTCCCTCTCCCCCCTCTCATCTCTCTCTCCCCCCTTTCTCTTTGTTTTTCTCTCTCTCATCTCTCTCTACCCCCCCCCCCCTCTGTCTGTCTGCCTCTCTCTCATCTTTCTTTCTCTCTCTCTCTCTCTCTCTCTCTCTCATTCTGATTCTCTGGCGCTCTCTGGGTCTCGCGGGTGCTTCTTCGGCCTTTGTTGGTGCTGGATGCACGACCTGCTCTCTCTCCCCCATTGTGAAGCACGCTAAATTTAACTGTGCTGCAAGAGCAACAGGCAGGCCATGGAGGCACCAACAGCAGCAGCGAAGAGAAACGGGCAGGCCAGGCCAGTGTCTCAGGGCTGAGAGGAAGTCATATGTCTCCCCAAGAGACTGAGCCACACAGAGCACCAACAAGGGCCAGAAGAAATGCCCGCAAGACCCACCAATAGATGAAGCTTCGCTCCTGGTCTGAAACATGGAAGCAAATCTCCATTCCCCGCCCTTCCCTTCTCAGGCCAGGCAAAGAATGACTGGGAGGGCAAGGGGCTGGGACAGCCAGTGGTGGGTTCAGCCGACAGGAAGCCACAGCAGGGGGAAGAAAAAGCCTCGGGTTGCTGACACCCGTTGCTTTGGCCCACCTATGCTGCCACATACACCCCTTGCACCATTACCTCATTCCAGCTGGTGAGTGCTGCGCTACTCCTTGCACGTTGCATCTCCTGCAAAGTTGCAAGTTGCACATAGCTCCCTCTACGGCAGAGATTTCCAGCCCCACCATGAGCTGCCTGGCCGGTCCCATATTCCAGAGCTCTAGTCACAGGACTGGCCATTGGTCATCCCGGAGCAGCTTGGGAGCGCTGCAGACCACCAAAATTTTCTCGTGGATCACCAGTGGTCCATGGACCACTGGTTGGTGACTTCTGGTCTATGATATATTTCTGTAGCTTTACTCAGCTATGCCATTTAGAATATTTACCCAAATATAAACTAACATAACCTTTAATGAAGATATCAGCTTTAATGAAATGACCTGCATTTTAAATTCTGCTCAGAAACCTGAACTGACATTCTTGGATCCATGTTGTAATTGCAAGAAAGCTTTTTATGCACCTTTATTCCTTCAAAATGGCATTGTATGTTGCAGATCGATGATGGATGGGTAGATGGATGGATGGATGGACGGATATCTTAATACAATTTGCTCTAATTTCATAGTAATTTTCAGAACACACTAAGATGAGAATTGAGATAAGCACCATTTCAGAGGCACTTTAATCAAGCAATTTAAGTGCCTAGAACTATGTTATATTTATATGGAAACTTTTGTCTTACAGAAAGCCTATGCATTTGCTCATCTATCAATTGCTTTTTCTGTTTACAGAAGAATAAATGTCAAATTTCAGCTTGTATTGTATGTATGACGAGGGATAGGCTTCTAATTATTGTTAGCAGCCTGCTGGATGGCAGGCTAGCATGTTTCTTGTGTATTCCTCTTTTTTCTCACATAGATATTAATTCTTTGTATTAAATTGTATAAGTGATGTGAAATTGAAAAACAATTCAGAAAATAAAGTTTGATTTTAGTTCCAATTACAAATACAAACTGCTCTTCTCCTAACTTTTAAGCATGAAGATCAAGACAAAGCATGCTCAATTTAAATTAAATTTGAACTAAAATGAATGGTATATTTTGAGCACATTATACTCACCAATATATTCACTCTTGAGCCATTTGTTTCAGTGTGCAATCCTTTATTACATGGTCAAAGTAGATTGGCTCCAAGATATTCCTCTTCAAAATGAACCTGAAGAAGTATCAAAATATGAGACAGATATTGGAAACTTTATGCTTTTGGAAACTTTCCTTCCCTCTCTAAACTCTTTTCTACTGAAAACATTCTTTCTCAGCAGCAGTATACCATCAAGTTACAGTTAATGAAATGTTTTCTTTCTGTTTCTTGTACTGTTTAATTACCCTGTTTTCTTTAGAAGCGTCATAAATCTATTTACAAATGTCACAACACTATTAATTGATTTTTTGACTCTGATCTTTTTGTAAGATGTTTCTGATATAATCCAAGTAATGTTTGAGTATCGCAAGTCCAGTTAGACATTTTATTGCTTAATTACATTAATTTCTAATTCTGATACCATCTTTAATTAATATGACAGAATTCTCTGACAAGAAGTTGTCCACTTGCTAATGATTCTTCAGCTCGGAGTGGTGCCCGATTCCACAGCTCTTATGACAAAAGATATGTCATCAAAACTATAACAAGTGAAGATGTAGCAGAAATGCACAATATACTGAAGAAATACCACCAGGTAATTCATTATTTGCTTTGAGAATGAGATAGTTGTAATTATACTTCATTGATAAAATTAAGAAATGGGCATTGCAACTTAGATTTATTTTTCTTGAATTTATCATTTGTTGTATATTGTAATACACATGGTTTTAAAAAAATCCTTCAAAATCATCTAGAAGTTTTGTTAAAATTTTAATCTTATTCTGTATTAAAATGAATCTATGCTGAATAATAGTTATGCATTTATTTACTTATGTTGGCTTCTTGTATAGTAGTTGAAAAGATACCCTGAATGTTTCTTAGCAAGCATTTGTCAAAATTACCTCATTAAAATTGAAATCTATACATTCTTCTGTTATTAGAACAATGATGAAAGGTTTGGAAGGAAGAAAAATTATCTTGACAATTATCTGATTAGGCCCAAGAATAAAATCTTCACATATTGACTTTGGGCAGGCTGGGTGAGGATGTGAGGTATATTCCAAAACTTGCAAATGGAATTAGGCTTATGAGTAGATACAGTGAACATCAGGTGACATTGTATTTCAGGGGTGTCAAACTCCAGCCCGCAGAATGCTTAGATCTTGCCCGCAAGGCCGCCCTGGAAACAGCAAAAGACTGGTCCATACTGCCTCTGCCAGCGAAAATGGAGTTCAGGAGGGCCACGTGTGGCTCTCCTAGGCTCTGTTTTTGGCCATAATGGCCCCCTGCAGTCCTCTGCCAGTAAAAATGGAGTTCTAGAGGGCCAGATGCAATCCTCATTAGCTCTGTTTTTGCTGGCAGAGGCACTGCAGGCTGGTCCTTTCACCTTTTCCAGGGCAACCCCATGGACCAAATCTAAGCACCCCATTTTTTTATTATTATTATTATTATTAAATTTCTATACCACCCTTCTCCCGAAGGACTCAGGGCGGTGAACAGCCAGAAGATAAAACACAGGAAATACAAAATCTAAAATAAATTAAAACAAATTAAATAATTTAGGCTGAATTTTAAAATACCCCATAATTAAACAAATTAAAAATTTATGTTTAAAATTTAAATTTAAAAGAGGAGATGATTTAGGCCAGGCCAGCTTGATGAAATAAAAACGTTTTAAGCGCGCGACGGCAGGATCCAGCCTGCAGACCTTGAATTTGATAACTCTCATCTACACCAGGAGTCCCCAACCCCGGGCCATGGCGTGGCCAGCTTGGTGTCACTCATGTCGGGGGCACCTGTGGTGGGGCTGGGGGGATGAGTGACATCGAGCTGGCCACATCCACCCCGACCGTGCCCACCTGGTCTTCCAAGGTCCAAAACAAACCCTGATGCGGCCCTTAATGAATTGAATTGAATTGAATTGAATTGAATTGAATTGAATTGAATGAAATCTAGTTTGACACCCATTCTGTATTTCATCCTTTATCAGGACTTTTCACATGCAGATAGTCAGCTGTGATTGTATTGGGTTCAAACCCTGTACTAGAAATAAAATTTACAGATATCTGCATTTTAGCTGACTATATTTAGTGCATTACAAATCGGCCAAAAAAAAATTGCAAATTGTGGTTAATGCTACAACCTGTCATAAATCCAAGTTGATTGCCAAGTGTCAAAATGTGCTTATATAATATGGGAGGGGGCTTTGAGAATGGTTTCAGGAAACTTTTTTTAAGTCTATGGCAAATTCAAATGGTTTTAAGCGACTAGTTGTAAGAAAGCAACTACCTATATGCATACATGGCGCTCCCATGTAACACCTCTCCTGCGCGAGCTGCATTGGCTTCCAGTGGTCTTCCGGGTGCGATTCAAGGTACTGGTTCTCATCTTCAAAGCGCTCCATGGCTTACGGCCCGGTTATTTACGAGACCACCTTCTGCCACCGATAACCTCCCACCGGCCAATCTGCTCCCACAGAGAGGGTCTCCTCAGGGTGCCATCGGTCAGGCAATGTCAACTGGTGACCCCCCCCCCGGGGAAGAGCCTTCTCTGTGGGGGCACTCGCCCTCTGGAATGAGCTACCCCCAGGGATACGACTGATCCCGGACCTCCGAACCTTTCGCCGGGCTCTGAAAACATTTCTATTTCGGCAAGCCGGGCTGTCTTACAATTTTTATTGGTGAATTTTATGGGTAAGGGGTTTTAAATTGGGGAAAGCCATTAGGGATTTAATTTTGTTTTAAATGTATTTTAATATTTATATTGTATGTTTTTTAATTTTGGCTGTTCACCGCCCCGAGTCCTTCGGGAGAGGGGGCAGTATAAAAATTTAATAAATAAATAAATAAATAAATAAATATCCAAAAAGAAGTAATGCAGAAGAGCCATATTAGCCATGATTGTGAAGGATATGTTTCTAATTAAGGATGAAAAAAGAAATCAACAAATATTTCCTCTTTGTATCATGTAAGGCTTGGATTTTCCTAAAATTGCTTATGATTTTGCACATCATAAGTCTGATGCCATCTATGGACTCAGATGACAAAAGGCATGGCCACCACTGTCTAGATCAGCAGTCCCAACCTTTTCAGCTTGGCGGCCTGACCTGGTGCAGGGTGTGTGTGAATGGCAGGAGTACACATACATACATAGTTTTATTTGTGCGAGTGGCGGACATGTGCCTTCCAAATGCACAAATGGAGCTTTACACATGAGTGGAGGGTATTTGCGCTCATGCGCAAAACTCCATTTGCGCGAACAGGGCACTTGAGCAGAGGATGCTTGTGCTCGCTCGTGTAGCTCCATTAGCGGAAACGCCTTCCGCTTGTGCAATTGGAGCTTCATGCATGCACCCTTGCCCATTTCTCCTGCAGCCTGGTTTAAACACGCCACAGCCCTCTAGTTGGCCTGGGGGTTGGGCACCCTGGTCTAGATCAGGTGTGTCAAATTCAAGGCCCGTGTGCCGGATCCAACCCGCCCGTGGGGTGCTTAGGTCTGGCCCACAGGGGCTGCCCTGGAAACAGCGAAGGACTGGCTCGCAGTGCCTCTGCCAGAAAAAACGGAGCTCGGGAGGGCCATGCATCCCCCTCTCGAGCTCTGTTTTCGCTGGCATGCAGGAGGATCCCCCCCCATGAGTGATGTCGAGTTGGCCATGCCCACCTGGCCCCCCGAAGTCAAGCACAACCCTGATGAGTTTGACACCCCTGGTCTAGATAATGAAATTGCATGTTTATTTTAATTTATCCTATGACAGAACCAAAATGATTCAGATTTCTACAACTTCTGAATAATATACCTTTAAATATTTTCATAGTTGATAGTCTAAAAGTTTTGTGAAAAAGTTTTCTCAAAGTTAATTAGAAAATGGTCTAATTAAACTGTACCAATGATTAATACGAATGTGAAAGAACTGCTCCGGCCCTTGCTGTAGAATTCTTTTCTAAAACTGACAGAATCTGAACCAGTTCTATTTTTTAAGTGTTATTCTCACATGAAGCATTATAGCTCAGGATTTTATACTGTGGGAATAAAAATTCAATTTCATATAATTTGATTTTTATTCATTCTGTATGAACTTGCAAAATTCTAGAATATACTTTAAATTTCGAATCCAAATGAAAAATTCATTTCTTTTGACAAAACTATAAACTCTGTCCACAATTAAATTGGAATTTATTGAAGTGATCAAAATCCCAGAGAACAAAGTGAACAAAGTCAGTGGAGACAATTATTGTTATAAAGTAAAGATTTGATCAGCAATGACAGTGGCTGGCAAGATGATAAGTTATTGTACTGTATCAATAGTGATACAAATAATATAAAAACAATGATGTTACAAATTTATTTATTTATTTATTTATTTTTCATATTTGTATACCGCCCTACTCCCGAAGGACTCAGGGCGGTGAACAGCCATAATAAATACAAATACATATAGAAGTTAAAAACTATTAAGAAACAGATTAAGTAATTTAGGCTCAAAGATTAAAAACTTCCAAATTTATCTAAAGAGATTTAAAAACCCAATTTAAAAGCCAGTTTAAAAGCCAATTAAAAAGGGAGAGTTAGGCCAGACCAGCTTGTTGGAATAGAAATGTTTTCAGGGTACGGCGGAATATGCGTAAGTCTTGGATGTTTCGTAACTCCGGGGGAAGCCCGTTCCAGATGGTAGGTGCCCCCACAGAAAAGGCTCTCCCCCTGGGGGCCATCAGTCGACATTGTTTGGCCGACGGCACCCTGAGGAGTCCCTCTCTATGGGAGCGAACTGGTCGGTGAGAGGCTATTGGTGGCAGGAGGCGGTCTCGTAAGTACCCTGGTCCTGAGCCATGGAGCGCTCTAAAGATAGTAACCAAAACCTTGAAGCGCACCCGAAAGACCACTGGGAGCCAGTGCAGCTCGCGCAGGAGGGAGGTTACATGAGAGCGCCACATTGCTCCCATCACCACCCGCGCGGCCGCATTCTGGACCAGTTGGAGCCTTCGGGTGCTTCTCAACGGGAGCCCCATGTAGAGAGCATTACAATAATCCAGGAATTAAAATTTAAAATTAAAATTAAAATTAAAAGCTAATGCAGATAAAGGCTGGCTTTTTCATTACAAAGAAGTTTCAAGTGGCTTTTTGTACAATTTCAGATGATAGTGATAGATTTCACTACTATGATCTTGGGATATTGCCAACTTTTTGTGAAAACCGCCTTTTCGTCCAGCAGCAATAGCACTGTAGTGGTATTACCACACCTAATAACATTTACTCAGCTAATCATACTAGAATGCTTTATGTTTTTTACTCTGTCCACAGTGAACATAGGAGAGATACTTTAGCTATCAGTTGTCTTAGAGTCTTACTGCTGCATAAGAATACAAAATGGAAGCTTCATTTGGGTATAATAGAAAGGATTATTCTCTACTTAATCACTGCTACTAAATTCATTACAAGAAGGAAGAATTGATGTTTAAGTGGCCTTGCCTACTAGTCTTAGTCTCATGAGATAATCAGGAGAGCAAATTAATCTACTGAATTAAAATCTGCATATGTACTTTATTACTGATAGATAGATCTGTTTATAATGCACTTACAAATCACGGAAAATGTCATCAGGCCAAAGTTATTTAGCATCATTGTCATGCTTATGAAATTAATCAAAAGCCACAATTTATTAGCAGCACTGTAGTTTTATGTGAGCCCTAAGATACGTTGGAATCACAGGCTAAAGGAGAGAGGGCAGTAAAAAGTCATTCCAGCATGGAATTACTCTGTGGGAAGAAATAAGGAAGCCAGACTTGATGCCTTTACCTGCCATTTCCAAAGGAAATTGAGATTCTTGTAAATAGGTGATCAACATTAAAGAAACTGCTTTGGTCAATGCAAGTAATGGTTCTGGTATATTGCATCTGACAAACCTTACTTAATGTATTACATCAAACATTTTATTATGTTTCAATACTTCAATTTTTTCTATACCTCCTGAAGCATATTCTTCCCTGTGTTTCCATTCATATTTTGTGATTATCCTGAATTAAGAAGACAATGATTCAAAATTGGGATTGCCTTCAGATACATTGTATTTATTATGATAATTATTTTTAAAAATTAATTCATATAATGTCAAGGCATCCACATTTTATAATTAATGCAGAACTAGGTGTTTTTCTTCTGTACTTTAGTAATTTCATTTTAAGAATATGTTCTCCTGAAAATAAAATATTAGCTTTATTAAAATTTTGAATAACAGAAAACCAAATATCAGCTATTCATATATTTAGTACATTTCCATACACTAAAATTGCTCTATAGCTATAATTTTTTATTTTATATAAATGTGTATGAAAAGTTGAGATACCTACTGAGTATCCAATGTTAATAGGATAATCTTTGTAACTCAGGATGTTCCCATTCTCCAGCAATGCCATGAAGTATTGAGGAGTTGAAAAGCTGCTATGTTGTTGATGACACAACATAGGATGCTTTGCAGCTAGTCTCTCATTGGTTTTGATACTCTTTTTTGAGTGGGGGAGGAAGAGAAAAAGAGAGGATAGATAGATAGATAGATAGATAGATAGATAGATAGATAGATAGATAGATAGATAGAGATAGATAGATAGATAGATAGATAGATAGATAGATAGATAGACAGACAGACAAATAGACAGACAAATAGACAGACAGACAGATAGAAATGTGTGTGTGTGTGTGTGTGTGTGTGTGTGTGTGTGTGGTCTACCTCAACATGTGGGAAGGAGCATTCTTTCCCTTTCGCCTTTCAGCTCCAATCCAGGAGCCCTCAAGCAGTCGCATTCACGACAAACCATTTTATACCAAATTTATATTTTGCTGATAAAGAAATAAAGGGAGACTAGTATAGATCTATTTCAGCTAGCCATACCTTACTCGGATTCGAACTTGGGTTTCCTGCATATTAGGCAGTTGAATTAACCTATAAAATGGTTAGTCGTGAATGTGTGTTTCGGGAAACACGGTATATATGTATAGAGCTCTCATATATCTACAAATGGCAGGCTCCAAGGAGGACCTCTTTTTTTGTGAGGGAATGCTGAAATCTTAGAAATGAAAGTACATAGTTTTTACCTGCTTCAAGTGAATTGTTTAATCATGAGGTGCAGGTTCAGGGTGAGAATTAGTAGAGAAGAAAATTGATAGGTTATATAGATTCCAAACGTTTATGGAAATGGAAACACATTCAAATAAAATTAAGAATTTTGCATGTTCACCTGTCACAGCTTTATTGAATGTTTAATTCTGTGCAATCTTCATCATGCAAATGCCATCAGTAATTAAAGGATATAGATACTTCAAAAACTTTTATTTTAACTATTTCTTGATAATGTAATTTTTCATAGTAATTACTTGTCTGATTTGAGATCACTTTAGGTATCTATATAAGAAAAATATGTAATAACATCTAATATTCCTTTTTTTTAAAATGTCATTGTAGTTTATAGTGGAATGTCATGGGAACACACTACTTCCACAATTTTTGGGCATGTACCGGCTTACTGTTGATGGAATTGAAGTGTACATGATTGTTACAAGAAATGTATTCAGCCATCGTTTATCTGTTTATAGAAAATATGATTTAAAGGTAAGCAAGTTTTTTCCTGTGGCATTACAGTAATTCTGTTAATAGTCCTGCAAGGAAGGAAGGAAGGAAGGAAGGAAGGAAGGAAGGAAGGAAGGCGCAGGCAGGCAGGCAGGCAGGCAGGCAGGCAGGCAGGAAGGAAGGAAGGAAGGAAGGAAGGAAGGAAAGAAGGAAGGGACAGTTCTATTAGGTACTGTAAAGCTAGTAATTACAGTGCATTAAAACATTTCAACAAATGATATTTTTGAGATGTGTTTATTAAAATAACATTTGCAGCTTATCCAACAAAACCTTTTATGAAAATAACATAATGTGTGTTGTAAAGTGACTAGGCAGAGAAATGCTAGCTAAAGTAGCTAAGTGCTAATGCTTTCAATCAAAGCCATTTGAAAGGTTAAAAAAATAGCTGAAGAGGCTATTTCATCCTTAATGCATTTTATAGGCAGCTGTATTCTGCACACAGATTTTTTTCCCGTAATGAATAGCAGTACTGCAATAGATTAAAGCAGTACCCTGCATCATTTAATATTGAAACTATTTTAGCAAATGACTAAAAAGCCATACTAAGCCATTTCTATTTTTGTCACCTCTATTAAATATATTTTAAATGGCAGTCCTATATCCATTTACCAGGAAGTAAGCCTCATTGATCTTACTTCCTCTGAGTGGATAAAGAGGTGATTATGCAGTTGTTGTTTGAAGTCTGATTGGTTCAAATTGGTTTGCCATATCCTGCTTCATTTCCTTAGTTTTAGGATTAGGAAGTGAGATGGCTAAGAAAAAAAAACTTTACATATGAGCTTGATTGACTAGCCTTCAGAGTACTTTATTTTAAACAGTAATATGTGTTGTATTAGCAGAAGAAAATATTGTGTTTTCCCATATAATTTTTTAAAAAGATTCTCAGATTTGCTAAGAGAGACTGGTATAACTGCAGACTATAGAATGTGATAGCTCAGTTTCTAGAATGTAAATTATCAATATTTTATTATCAACATTCTTTTAAAAATGTAATAATTAACAATTTACCTGGGTGTTCAAAAAGTCGCTATCAAGTTTATTTCACATCCTTGGATGTGAAAGTGTGCCATTTTCTCACTTCAGTAAAATTTCTGTCCCTCCATCAACCATGAATGAATAACAGTCTTAAGAAACATAAATATTTTAGCTCCTGGACCTATAAATATTATTCAAGTGGAAATCAAAGCCATTTCATTCGATGTGGCCTAGAATTTACTAATGAAAGTTCCCAGAGGAAAACTAGGATACACAGGTAGTCCTTATCCTACAACAATTTATTCAACAACCATTCAAAGTTACAATGGCACTGAACAAATGTTGGTTACGATCAGTCTTCAAGAGTTCCAGCTGTCCCAGCACCCCTGTGGTCATGATTGCTATCTGGGTGATTGGCAACTGGTTTGCCTTTACACTTACAACCAATTGTAGTACCTGAGATCATATGGTCACCATTTGAATCTCTCCCTATTACTTACCTAGAATGTCAGTGGGGAAGCCAGCAGGGAAGGGGTAAGTGTCCCCCACCCACACACCCTTTTCCAGCCCTTCTCCACTAGTGCCATACCGGCCACTTTCACACCATTGCTCACTTTCCCCAACCACTTTCACACCATTGCTCACTTTCCCCAACCTCAGCGCCCACACACTCATCCTTCCTTATCTGCATCTTTTCTGCATACCCTCATGCTCTTGATTATTTAACCACAGTTGTTCCTTGATTAATGACTGTTCATTCAGAAACTCTTTGAAGTTATGGCTGCACTGAACAAATGATACTTAGGCCCATTCTCCAAAGTTACATCCATTGCAGAGACCCTGCAATCACATAATCAACATTCAGGTGCTTGTTAGTCAGTCTGCATTTATGACTAATAGAGCACTTCAGTTCATCCTACCTGCCAATCTCCCTTCCTTTTGGCTGTTCTGGCAGTAGTGGGACTGAAGTAGAGGCGCGGGCCTTTAGTGGTATGAGCTGACAGCTGCCAACCCTGGGCTTCCACTTCAGCCCTGGCACTGCCGGCACTGCCACCATCACTGAGGAATATTTTCTCTCAATCCCCATGGGATTAAACCATGGCTAGCCATCGTACAAAGCCCCTGTGGTACCCACATGCTTTCACCATCTTCCTCCCTCTGCTGACAAGGCACGATCAATCTGCCCCTAGCCTGGGCACACTAGGCTCTCTTCCCAACGCAGCGTATGCCATTCTCCAAATCACATGGGCCTCGAGGTGCTTTGGAAGGGCTTGACATCGTGCTTTATGACTGCATTGGTTAGTAGTGGAAGTTCTCGTCCCAATTGCTATTGTTAACTAAGGACTACCTGTACTCCAAAAATGCTAGCAGGAAAATGGCAGTTTACCTTTTGAACTGTATTATGATGCTACTTGTGACAATATTAAATGAGAGCTAGGTGCCCTCCCCTCATCTGCTTTTGGTAGCTGGTATAAGAGTAAAATATAATGGTATAACGTTTGGTAGATGTGTTACTATTTTAATTTTCATACCTATAATTCTTTATTTTGAATTAATATAAAATATTAAATTGCACTATCTTCTATTATCAATATATTAAAATTTTTGACACATTTGACTGGTTAATTGATCTCTAACATTTTGGATTCATTTTATAAAATGTATGATTTTTTTTTTTTTAATAACACACTATACTCTGTATCATTTTGCAAGTGAATTACAATCTAGGAAGTGGGATAGTTGTGGGGTAGATACATGCTTACACAATGGACACATCTGTGCAGATTGTAAAACAAGGTGACAATCGTTTTATTAATACCAGTACTTCAAATTCCTTCCAGAGGTATAAGGAAAACCACTAAAACTCTCATGTTTGAACAGGCTGAAGTTTAAGATATATCTATAGAAACAGGTTAATACATGTAATAGTTTGTAATAATTATGTGTGACTTTTACCAGAGCATTGCTAACCAGGCGACACTTCCTCTGTTGAAAAATTGGTTATGGCTGACATGCTAGTAGCTAATGGACTCCAGATGCTTAGTAGAAGAAAATAGTAATAGGACCAGGAAAATCCAAATCTCCACGAAAAGAAATTTCTTTTCTTATTATATTTTAATGCAGTATGTTTGAATTTTATATTTGTTCATAATACAATACAGTAAGTTTGAGGGACTAGAATGAGTTGATGGTGAAAACATTTCTATAAGTGTGTTATTCAGTATTGTTCTAGTGACAAAATGTGCTGTGTTTTTCTTTCAGGGCTCAACAGTAGCAAGAGAAGCTAGTGACAAAGAAAAGGTGTGGCAAAGTTATATTTATATACTTAGTCATCTGCCTTCAACTTGTAAAAAAGGGCAAATTTATGTTAGTTGTGGAGTATTATTCTTGGCAACTTTCTTAGATGCAATTCTACACCTTAACCTTAATCAGTATAAGACTGATCTCAATTTAAAAGCAAACCCATGTGAGGCTTTTTCTTGGTGGCAGACTGCATCCAGTATGATTTTACTTTAATCAAATCTTATGTATTTCATGAGACTATAACTTTAATTTTTTTTTCTAAGCTGTACTAGTAACCTCCTGAAAAATGAAGTATAAATAAATTATTCCAACTTTTGTCAATGAAAGCAGTCATGATAATGTTGAGAATGGGAAAAATTATTTAAAACTGTTTATAGATCTGAAACGCGTCAGTTGTTTAGGCAAAAGTACTAGAATTCAGAAGCTGTAGATTTAAAAAAACACATTTCAATTTAATATGGGGAGGTCCCGTTTTTACAGTAATGCTTGTCAAGAGTCTAAATCTTCTGAATTCTTCATTTATATTGACCTAGAATAGCCTTTTTCCAATCTGATTGCTTCCAGATCACAATTTTTTGAATTCTCATCTAATGTAATTAGATGAGAATTCAAAATTGGATTGTGGTTCCAACACTATACCACATTGGAGAAGGCTGAGTTGAGTATTTATTTTCTTTATTTCTTTTATTTTTATTTATTTTATTGAATTTGTATACCGCCCTACTCCCAAAGGACTCAGGGCAGTGTATTGTGGAAGAATCAGTTAAGCTAAATCCAAAAGTGATCACCTGCTTGTTAAAATAGAAACCCCAAATCAGTTTCCTATCATGAGGCTGTCCAGACTGTTGTGCAAATGATTGTGGGAAATCATTACCAACTGAGTTACTTCTGAACATAATGGCGGTTTTCTTTTCATTGTGACAGTTTGACAGTGATAATATTAACTTTATCAAAACATATATTTGGACATAACATAACTTCTTGGTTTAGAGAAGAGTGATAGGCTTCCACAATCATCAGCTTCTGACAGCCAATGCTTTGATTTTGCTTAGGTAATTTCTACAGTGGTGTATATAGATTATGCATGAGTAATCTGGAGCATTTTGTGGTTCTCTTTCTCTCCTAGGAGTTCTATAGTGTGACATAGATGATTGTAGTTACAGTATACAGTTATTTATGGTTGTTGATTGAATTTCTTGCTAGTGAGGGACTTGTGCTCTAATATATACAACTGTGTCTTGGGTCCTTTATCTTTTCTGTTGTACCAAATATTAGCTCTTACTTCAGAGGTCTTCAAAGTTGGCAGTTTTAAGACTTGTGGATTCCAACTCCCAGAATTCTCCAGCCAGCTATGCTGGCAGGAGAATTCTGGGAGTTGAAGTCCACAAGTCTTAAAGCTGCCAAGTTTGAAGACCTCTGCCTTACTTAGAGGATATATTTCCACAACTTTTTCCCTGTACTTTGCTTCTTGTATTGCATGAAATGTACACTAGTATATATTAAAATATGTTTAATGCAATCATAGAATTAGAACAAGCAGTTAGGCCATCAAGTGCAGGTCTTTTCTTAGGGTAAAAATTCAGATTAAAGTTTTGATGACAATAGCTTTTTGCTAGTCACAGATTCTTCATAATCAGTAGCTTGGTCAGGTTGGATTTAGCATTATGACCATCTTTTGATAAGTTGTCATAAGTAATTCAAAAACAAAAATTTTTATGGTCATTTATCATTCACAATATTCCTCTGATGTTTTTATTCATAATTACATCACCCTTATTTTTAATTTTCTTTGCCTACAGTGCAGTTTTTCCCCACAAAACTATGTACAAGAAAATAATACAATTATTTTATGAATAATTATAAAATAAATAATATTGTCCTGCTTAGGAGTCATTATTTTATGATCCCTAAGCAAGGCATAAAATCAGTTTAACAACTCCTCACTTTCAATCTTTCATTAATCTTTGTTGCATCTTCTTATCATGGTAAATTGGGGACAACTTAAGCTTCAGATCTGAACTTCTGGGATAGCACACATTTTAGCAGAGCATCTGAACAGGATTGCCTGGTTTGTTACTTGCAGAATATGTTATCAATGATATATTTGGAACATTTTTTTGCTAGTTCCTGCCATGCAAAACAGGATTTGATGTTTAAACTGTCAGCTATGTTTTAATTAATGAATAGAGAAATGTATCAAACATTGATTTTATAGATCAGAATGTTTTGTAGCTTAGTAATGTAAGCAAATAAAAACACACAGGGGGTGTTAATGAAAGAAGAAAATAATATGCTAATGTATTTGTTTTTATCTTATGTTTGAAAAAGGTACACTATATTCTGGTGCTGTAGCTCTATAATGCCCCCTGGTGGCTGTTATTTTGCATTTTAATGTCTGTGCATGATTAGTTATGCTCTGTTCAGACAATTGACATTTCATTGTTCTGTTCCTTCATTGTTTTGAAATGACTTTTGTTTATTTGTCTGTCTTAGGCCAAAGAACTGCCAACATTTAAAGACAATGACTTCATTAATGATGGTCAAAAAATTTACATTAATGAAGCCAACAAAAAGATGTTCCTTGAAAAGCTTAAAAAGGATGTTGAGGTAAGAATTCTAGACAAAGGCACTATCCTTGCCAGAAACACTTATACAGTTGTACCACCTAACTGATATGGCTGTTAACTGAAATATTTCAATATGTTCCTGTAAAGATATATTCAATATATGTGTATTCCTTGAAAAATTGATTTGGACTTGCTTTGTGGACAGCATCTCTCTCTGGTGTTCATTAAAAGCAGCCACAATATTGTGGGTTAATGAAAACAAGAAAAAGGCAGCCTGCTTTCATGAATATTAAAACTATGCAACGAATCAGGAAAGACAGAATTGATACCAAAAAGTTGGCACATCGCTCATGACCGTGAGTGATAGGAATGAAGCTGAAGGACCTTTGCTGTCTGCACTGTCTAGGATTCATCATATTGATTTAAAACAAGCTGGTAATAAACAGTAAAGCCCTGCCTTTGGTCAAAAGCTTCAGATCTCAACCAAGATTGATCATTTTGGTTTAAATCCTGCTCTGTTCCCTGAAATATAAAATGATTCCTCTCTTATGAAAAGATGCAAAGTTCTAAGATGTTATCACTATGAAATAATAATTCTGCCTCTTCTATTCTTAAATACCTGAATATTCCTGGCATTTTACTTTGGATTGTTAATCTGCACTATGAATATTTGATGATGTGCTTGTGAAATATGGATCAAATTGTCTTTCCATTGTTTAAATCTAGTGGGTTCTTAAATGATCAGCCATATAATTAATCTTTTGGTGATTAGTGCAGCATTCAAGCATACAAAAGCTGTGGTGGCGCAGTGGTTAGAATGCAGTACTGCAGGCTAACTCACTATTCACTTCAGGAGTTCGATTCTGAGCAGCTCAAGGTTGATTCAGTCTTCCATCCTTCCGAGGTCGGTAAAATGAGGACCCAGATTGTTGGAGGCAATGTGCTAACTCTGTAAACCACTTAGACAGGGCTGTAAAGCACTGTGAAGCTGTATATATGTCTAAGTGCTGTTGCTATTCCTTAAAATCCCTATAGAAATATTATATTTGTGTGTAAGCAATTACTGTAAGTTTAGATTCTCAAGTTGATAAAGGTTAGAAATGCATCATATAATTTATTTTATATTCACCATATTTTTTTAAAAAAAATGTTTTCCGAGAATTAGATAGATCCTGCAAAAGATTGTGCTTTCCCATCAATTACATTTCAGTTTAAATGCATTTTATTTTTCACACTGACTATATATTTTATTTTTTAGAGATTTTCCTCAGTCTGGTATGGTCCTGATGTGTTAGACTTCAGTTCCTATAATGCCTTGTCAATTTGTGATGAAAACTGGGAATTATGGGAAGTCTGAGTTGAGCAATAAATCTCAAAATCATAGTGTTGTTTCTTTTTATGGGAGGAGATGCATTTTCTGGAGCTGTCTGATTATTCATTTAGTTTTCTGTTTGCATTCTGATGTGCTCTAACTAATCAATATGCTTTCATTTCCTTAATATATAGATAGCTTGTATATCAACATTTCTCTTAGAAAGCTGGGGAGGAAGTAAATATGATACTGTTCCAGTCTTTCTTTCAGGGCCCAAGTAAGCCTGATATTTTTTCCTGTGACCTTCTGTGGCTGGTACTTTAAACAGGTAGCTGATATGTAAGGGAAGGAATCAAAGTCGGATTAGGGCTGCAGCAAAGAATTGTGTCTGTCACATATCCAATTTATTTCACTTGCACCTGCTACCAAAATGAATTGAAATATGGGGCCTTGGTATACTGGCAGTTCTTCAGATACGACAGGTCATTAATGAATGTTCAGTTACAACACACATCCCCAAATTACATAATCTCTATTTCAAAGTTACAAAGGTTGCAATGCTCCTGCACCATTCATTCACCATTAAAACTGACCACAGGGATGCTGCAGTGCCCTCTGCCTCTGTCCCCCATCCCACCCTGCAAAAATGCCACAGTGCTTGGGCCTGTTCCTCACATGTCCATCACCCATCACACTTATTTTTTGGATCTCTCCGGACCTCATGTTGGGGAAAGAGGGCTGGCCACATGTCCCTGGGCTGCACAGAGGTGACCCAAAGACAGCTGCCATTTTGTCCTACCCACTTGTGGGCAGCGACAAAATGGTATCCCTCAGACAAACTGCTTCATTTTGTTGCATTTTCTTAATGAGATCTATACAGAAGCTTCTGAATGCTACAGAAAGCTTCTGCAGCACTGTGCAGATCTCATTAAGAGAACAAAATGAAGCAGTTTATTTCCAGACTGCATGGCAATGATCCAAACATGGTTGCCATTTTGTATCTAGGACAAAATGGTGACCACTTCCAGAACTGTACCACATGGTCAGACAAAGAAGCAATCCATTCCAATATTCTGGAAGGCCTCAGAGCTCTTCAAAGAATAAGTGAGGAGGAGGAGGATGTTTGTCCTGATCAGGTGGGAATTAGACCTAAGGCCCACCTGACCTGAAGGAAGTGTGAAAAGGCCTGTGGAGACCCAAGGGTTGGGAGTAGAGCACAGGGCAGGGGGTGAAGGAGGCCTTGAGAGGGCCAGGGCATGTGGACCTATGTCTGTACTAGGCTTCCAAGGGCCTCTTGCACCCCTGAGGCACCCGATTCTTTACTTAATGGCCCAGGCATTCGTTTAATGGTTCATTGGGGAAAACAAAGATGGGGGGGTGGTCATTAGATGAGATATTTCACCTAACAATCATTGAGACATGCGACCGTAATGGGCAGATCCATTATGGACATAATCTTGAGGACTACCTGTGGTGGAGACTTAAACATTGCCAAATATGGATTGTGGGAACAGAAATCTTACAGGTTTGGGCAGACATCATATTCAACTGCTTTAACTTTACCTGTACATTCTTGAAATACTTTTTGCATTTTTCATTAAACCCCACTTTTTTATTTTCACTTGAACAACTCTATTCTAGTACAAACTAACATTTAATGTAGTAAAGGTATCATTTTCTGATTGATAATGGATTCCTTTTTTTCCTGTTATTGCTGTGTAGTTCCTTGCTCAATTAAAACTCATGGATTACAGCTTGCTAGTTGGAATTCATGATGTTGAACGAGCCGAGCAAGAGGAAGTAGAATGTGAAGAGAATGAGGAAGAGGAAGGAGAAAGTGATGGGACTCACCCAGTTGGAACACCTCCAGATAGCCCAGGAAATACACTGAACAGTTTGCAGCCTTTAGCCCCAGGAGAATTTGATCCAACCATTGATGTTTATGGTATAAAATGCCATGAAAGTAAGTGGCTTTGCTATAAAGTCTTAGACATGAAGGGCATTAGGGTTCCTGTGGAAATATGCTTTATAGAGTTTCTCCTTAGCTCTAGTAGTTAAACACTAAGTTAAGTAAGTTGAAACTAAGTTAACAGTATACAAAATTATAGAAAGTCTGTGGCACAGAGTACAGCAATTTAGCTTTGTATTTATATATTTCAATTACATATCACACAGTGTGTCTCCAAGTGTTTAGCATTTCAAATACTGAAACCATTATATATGCATTAACTTAGGAACCAGTTTGGAGTAGTAGATAAGGCACCAGATTAGAAACAAGCAGATTGTGAGTTTTAGTCCTACTTTAGGCATATAGCCAGGGTAACGCAGTGCCAACTAGTCTTTCTCAGCCCTAGGGCAAGTCATTTCCAAAATCTTGCCAAGAAAACATCAGGGGATTGTTTCTTGGAGAAGAACATTGGCTCAAATCAACACATAAATTCATATTTCTCTTTATGTCAGCTCTGTAAGATACAATATATATGTGATACTAGTAATTCATTCCAATTACATTATTCAAAATGCATGCTAGATCTACAAAATTGGAGGCAGGGAGGATTATTGAAGTCATTTAGAATAATGTCCATCCAATGTATGGATCCACTATTGCAGCATCTGTAAAGATGGCCATCCAGCTTCCGTTTAAGAATCTCCAGCCAAGAAGAGTTCCCTACATCCTGAATAGTCTTCTCCATATTGAACATCTTTTCGCGTTAGGAAATTTCTCCAGATGTCCAGCTAACATTCAAATCCACTGTTTCTTTTCCTGTCTTCTGGAACAGCTCTAAACAATTCTTCCATCTTGTACATGACAGCCCTTCAGATAGATGAAGACAGCTGTCCTATATCCTTGCAGTCTTTTCTTCAGACTAAACATACCTAACCCCTCCAAATGTTTCTCAGTTTTTTCCTTCTGGTACCTTATCATCTTGGTATACTTTTCAGTCAGGACTATCTTCTCTTATTTTAAACTTTTAGGAACTCATATCTTAGCTGTCTTCTATCAAACCAATGCAATCTAAACATTTATTGGTGGAATGTGCACAGATTTTCTTGCAATTTAAGGTTAAGGTTAAGGTTATCTTATATGCCACCTAGAGTCACATATGTGAGATGTGTGGCTATATAAATCAAATAAATAGAATACAATAAAAAGTGCTGAATTCTACCTGCCTTTTATAGCCAAGAACAGCTGATTTTAAGAGGTTTAATAAAATGTATTATATTTGAACTCCTCTCCCAACCCAGTAACACATCATCACAATACTCTCTATTGTCAGACTTGAGGAACTTTTGTTCAGACTGATTATGTGGGTTCAAATTCAAAGTGTGAATTTGTTGAAGCAATTATCCCAATTTATATTTGTTTATTTAACAATCTCCCTAGGTACAGTTTAATTTTATTTCCCCATCTCTTCCCCACTCCCTTCCCCACAGATGCAGCTAGAAAAGAGGTATACTTCATGGCTATTATTGACATTCTTACTCATTACGACGCCAAAAAGAAAGCTGCCCATGCTGCAAAAACTGTGAAACATGGGGTGAGTAGGCCTCCATTCTGACAGTGTCCTGTCAAGGATTTTCAGGGGTTGGACCATTAAAGGGCTTTCAATAAAGATGCTTACATTCCCCTGTCTCTCTATATCTGAAGGCCTGTCTACAATGAGGAGAGATCAGATGTGAGAGATATTATCACTTTGTCTCACAAAGCAGTCATGCAAATACGGCTCAGTTAATTTTGAAAATGTGTTATTGAGTGAGAATGAACCATTTTCAAATAACATTTTCTTCTGAAGGGATTTTCTCTTTTACTTATGAGACTCCTATAACTAGGCTATTATGAACCCTAAATAATTTCTGGAAATAGTTTGAAGATCTGTAAAGTAGAATCTTCCTTGCAGAATAGAGAATGCAGTTTTCATTGGTTCAAGAATCACCCCAACTTTTGAAAACATGTTGAAGATTTCTCTCAAAACTTTTCTCAAAGGGTGGGCTATGATCCATATGGAGAGTGTAGAGGTTTGGGTTTTATTAAAAGTTAAATTAAGTAATTTAAGTCCCCACAAAATTTATTGATACTATTTTCATCGTGCCTTCTTCAGGGCACCAGAATATACTTTTTGTAATCCAGTACCAAATCAAACTTGGTATATAGTAAATGGGTATGACTTCTTATATGACAGTCAAAACCTTATTCACATAAAAATGCAATTACAATAGAATAAGATCAAAGATTGGAATAGATAGATCTTGAATGAATGTTTGCTTCCTTCAATTTCTCTGGTATTTTATCTAATAAGAGTTTCTGAGGAGGTTCTACCTCAGCGTCCTCCCTTCATCTTTCCTCTCTTCTCCCATCCCTTCCCTTCCTTCCTCCCCTCCCAACCTTCCTTTCCTCTCCCCTGGATAAACACTCTTCCTAACAAATCAACTATTTCTATTCCTTATTATTTTTATTTTCAATGAATGTCTTAAAGTTAATGGCATTCAAAGCATTCTTTGAAATAAAGAGTATGTTTGAGATGCATGCTAGTTTTTCATTAAAAAAAATAGACTCTGAAAAATAAAATTGGGTAGATTGTGCAGCCTTCGGGCACAAAGGAAAGTATATTTAGACAATCTTCTCCTATCCTAACCCGGGAATTGGAATAGCTGAGCATAAATGAACAACACCAGATTGGGAAATACAGATGTAAGATGCCCTAAACTTTTAAATTTAATTTGTGTCTCATCATCATCATCTTCTGGTTTTACAGGCTGGTGCAGAGATTTCAACAGTTAATCCTGAACAGTATTCAAAACGGTTCTTGGACTTTATTGCCAACATCTTAACGTAACCTAATGCTCTTTTGGACAGTATGAGGTCTGGAAGAAGCAGCAAATTGTTACAAGTGTGTAAGGGGTCTTTATGAAAGCTTCTTTTAAAAAGAACTCATTCTATCTTGCAGAAGGCAGCCCCCACCCCACCCCACCCATTTACATCTGCTGGCAAAGATGACTTACTGGGGTGAAATATTTGCTTTTACAGCTGCCTGATTATGCCCAGCATAGTTTTAGCTATTTCTGACATGTATGTGTGTGTGAGATTGTATGTGTGTATGAGTGTGCAAAAATGGATATAAATTAACTAATAATAACTAAAATAGATCAGCTCCTATTCAATGTGCATTGCAACAACACCTCTCTGTGGATATTAGCTGAAATAGATGAATGGAAAAAAGATATTGTGGAAAGGGAAGAAAAATCTATGTGCATGTTGGGACCTACAATATTGGAATCAAAGCTGTAAACTGTGGATCAGTTTAAAATTTGAACTGAAAGATGCAAGATAATATTGGTGGTAATTATGACTCTGATCTTATTGTGAATGTTACACTTAACAACCCTGCATGTTTGCACTCCTTAAGAATAATCCCCATTTGCTGGAAGCTTTTCCTCTTGGCAGTTTTTTAAAACCTATATTACTAAGTAAGCCCATTGCAACAGGAAAGAGTCTTCCAGCAACGCAGAAGTTTGGCTCTTGTTTTATTAAATTCTGATGCCATAATCATTCTGTGTATTTGCCAAGGGCAAAACTCATTTTGAGGATCAGGGTGGGAAAAATATAGACTGTTTAATTGTCTTGTAATATGGAGATTTTGCATTGTATGTTTATCATATAGAAACTGAGTATAGTATAAAGAAAATCAAATACGCTTTTTAGAAAAATCAATTGTTAGGGGCAAAAATGGCATTTTTCCCACATGAACAAAAATGTAGAAAGGTTTGCTCATCTGTGAGAGATCAAAGGAAGACATTAAATGCTTACATGTGCTGTTTTTAAAATATTTTATTAAAATATTCTTTTCTAAGCCCTATATTTTATTGTTTACATTGAAAGGAAAACAGGGATGCTCTTGAGTTTGTTAGAGAATCTGAAGTTTACATGTAAAGTTACTTTGCAGTACAGATAAAGTAATTTCTTCGATTGTAACATGCAGTAATGTATCAGAGCATATATTTTATTCACCCTTGTGATAGAATCTTTTTTTACAACAGTGACAGACTGTTTTGAAGTATTTTAAATGCTATTTTAATTATATTAATTTAGCTTTGTGTCTTTCTAAATTATATTGTTTAAATGATTGCCTAAAATTCTGCTGTTCCCTACAATCTGCTGGTTTTTATTTTTGGAGGTTTTGAAAAGGACAGAATTAGAGATGCTTAATTATATTCTGTATGTATGACCTGTGCAAAAACAATGTGCCTTTTAAAATTCTTTGTTTAAATAGACATTCATAGGCAATTTTTAAGAAGAAATAACACCCTGCAATTTATAATTTTATTCCTGGAGTGCCAGATTGCCTTCTCTATTAATATAATGACAGTACAGCTACAATTTCAGTACATGTAATGTTAACTAGAAAATTCTAGTAAAATAACAACTGGTCTTGCAATCCTTTGTGGTCAGGAGCAATATCATCTCTGTTAATAACTGGGTTATTTTTTTAAAAGGTCTTATTACCTTTTTAAAATATTTCTCAGTAGGTTTTCTTTCCCCCCCATAATAACGCTTCAAAAATTGATAGGTTTTTTTAAAAATAACTAATCCTATTCTTCCTCCTGACGCCTCGTATTTGGTCTAGAAAAGAGTTGAGGACATTTTAAAGCTAGATGTGTGTTTGTGTGTCGATGCAAAAGCAAATTACACAGGCCTTCCAAACCATCCAATGGAAATTTATTAAATAAGGAGCTAATTAGAATTGGGGGGAACCTAGTATTAATGTACATAATATATATGCTAAAAGTGTTGGATTATCTTGCTAGAATCTGTAAAGATACCTGGAAGAGATTCTTGGCTGATCCTCTGGAGATCACTGGGATCTGCCAGTGTAGATAACATTCAACTGCTCCAGGATTCATGGTATATTTGGGCATAAAGCTTTTTTTTTTTTTCTTCTTTAAAATACCAACGAAAATCCTGCTGTCTCATCTCACTGCTCGGGTTACTTCCCAAAAAGCCATATAAACTATCAGTAACTGCATTTGCTTCACACCAGCTATGTTGTTCTTTTCCTTTGATATAAATGTCTACAATTGATTGATTTTTGTGCATAATGCTGCTGCTTTCAATATTTTAATATATGTCAGCTGTGGCACATCTGAATAATATATGCATTTCCTTAACAATTCTAGTTTTATTTGGTGTTTCAAAATATAAAGTGCTGTTTTAGGTTTCAATAATCCATTCATGCACATGATACTCAAAATCGCATCCTTCAGTTTTAGATAACATGGCAAAAATTTTGAGTTAGGGTAAAATGAACAGTGGTTAATAATTGATTTGAAGGGATAGAGTGTACACATGTATTATTCCTAAATATCACATCTATTTTAGAAACTCCTTTGAACATATTGCTTGGGCTCCAATTTGTTTTTATAACATTCATGCCTTTAAAGGTTTTATTCTTTATAAATGAACTCCAAATTTCCACAGGGAAGATATTGTTGCTGTTTTATAGACCAGCTATGTCCCAATTGATACATGGCCACTAAATGAAGCGGTATCTCTCTTATTAGCTGAATTTCTACTGGTTCAATTGGATATGTAATGTAATTGGGTGAACAGTCACCATAAATGCTACTACCATGAGTGACTTTTCAGGATTATTAATAAATTTAACTAATTTTTATTGCATTACAGATTGTATTTTCTCATTTATATTATTCTATATTATCCTAGGCTTTTCAAATAAGGCTCCCTGACATTATGAGCTTTATGCTGCTTTGTGCTTCAGTGTAGACTTAAATGATAGATGTAGTTCTCTAGAATGACAAATGTTCCTACTACTAGTTCCTTTTCATATTCCCTCTTAAATTAATATACAAAAATAAGATCTGCACATTTTCTTAAGGTCAATGTGCAAAAAATGGAGCCAAAAATATTGGATCCTTTTATTTAATTGCATTTTTTTATCCAATTTTGCAGTTTCAAGGGCAGTCTGCAAGGTTTAAGGTATCCATTTCATCCTTTAAAAATTCTGAATGCCCAACTGGATCTCAATTCACAGTCTAGCTCCTAATATGCCGCATAAAGTGTGATGCAGCTCTTGGAGAATATGGTTCTCCAAGAACCATAGTTCATATTTCCAAATATTACCTTCATTTTGTTTCTTATCTCTCTCCATGACAAACACGGCATGTCTTTCAGTTTTCCCTCTTTGATTATTTTTCTCCTATATTTTTAAAAAGGCAGGATAGGTTTTGTGAAAGCATCATTCCCCTAAAAAAAGAATGTTCGTTCTGTTTCATTTGTTATACAGTCAGCGCTTCTCCAGGCCAATTTGTACCTGACTGTTTAATTATTATACTTATCCCCAGTTCTGTAGTCGAGTGTCTCCTTTTATCAATAAGATAAAACAATGTCCTCCATAACTAGCAAAACTATATTAAAGGTTTAAATATGTATATAACCTATAAATATGGTTATTGTTCTTTTTTAAATGCATGGCATTCTTAATAGTTCCTATATGCTGATAGCCACAGGTCATATTGTTTCTTGGGAGCTTATATTTTAGCTTTTGCCACAATCTCTCTTTTTTAAACATTTGGGTATATTTATCTATTATATTGCTTTGTCATTATATAACCAGGGCACTTAACCCTTCTTGTTCTAATTTCTTCCACGTTTCAGTGTGTTTTTCACTCAGAATACCATCTATAATGGAATTCTTATCTTCTGCCCTATTGTTGTTACAAATAACAGCCTTTTTTCCTTTTGCGCTGCTCAGTTTGGTTAACCTATTCCAGGAATCCTATTGTTCTTGATTGAGCTCTATTTTCCTAATGATTTCTTGCAGATGTTCAGATATGATTGAACCAATTAATGGTTTAACACAATGGGTCGTCCGTCAGGTGAATTCCACAATGGTTAATCCTTTGTTTTTCTAATTGAATACTGTTTCATTTAATTTTCCAGCCAGTTTTTGTTTAATGAAGTCTCCATCCTCAAAACATCATATGGAATGTCAGAGGACCTAGTTTGAAAAAGTTTCAGATTAGATCCTCTTGAATACCTCGTGGCTGCAAATTGCAATAGCACTGCTTTGGAGATACTATTAACTAGACACTTCCAAAATAACTCAATGTGTTAGTGCCTATTACTATTGATAGTTTTTCTATTCTTACCTGTATTCTTCTGTCCCAGTTTCTTTGTTTTAAATTTCATCAGTCATAATTGCAGGTCATCATTTAATACTTCAATTATTTTTGCTAAAATTCCCAGTGTTTATTTCTTTTTGAATAAGTCTTGATGTTCTTTAAACAAAATTATTCTGTAGATAGAATGGACAATATGTCCTATGTAATTTGGAAATCCTGAGCAAAAGTACTTTGGAGAATGAAAATAGCATCATTCCGTATCTGCCATTTGATCCCAGGAAAATGCATGGCTGTTTTAAAGAGCTGCACACAGAGAGTATGTTTGTGCTACAGCATGGTTACAATAATTTCTTTGGATCTAAGCAGACTCCTGGTAGATAGCTTTAATATTCCCTTTGTCTGATTGCAAAAAAAACATGGTTTATGCGTTATGCTAAGACAAAATGTAATTGTTTGACTTTATGGACCCACTTTAATGTTTGTAAAGCATATTTTATGGCTTAATATTTGGGTGGATTCAACCACTAAATTACCCCATCCCATACTGGCCACTGTAGTTTAAGCACTAATCTTGGAACTGACACTGGCAATATCCATCCAAATTTAAATGCAACCTTCAATTATGTTAGAGATGTCTAATGAGTCAATAAATTGCAGTCTACTTTACTATTCTGAATACAATATGGAAAAATATGTGTGTGTTTAAATTCAAGCTTCTGCATTCTGATTTACTGAGAACCATGTCTATCCGTGATAGAGCAACCAGTTCCATTTTTAGTGTTGTCTGCTATTTATTTCCCTTTCTCTTATGGGCTGATTTATTGTGAATTAGGTTGGTTTCTTTCATATGTTACTATTTACAAATTGTCACATGGTGACTTTTTACAAAGATGAGCTTTTGGTCATAGTTTGTTCAATTAAAGAGAATAATTTTCGCTGTAGTAACATACCTTATATAGAAATCTAAGCTAGCAGATGTTAATGTACTATTACTATCAAACAGCTCATTGCAAATCTCACCACTCTTTAAAATTTAGATTCAAGTTACAAAGGTTACTGGATTTGAAGTTCATAATTTCTTGGGACTCTTAAGACAGTTCTTTTAAAACATTTTGTTAATTAATATTCAACCATGGCGGGAATCCATATATTGATATGTGTATTATTAATTACATAATTGACAACATTTTTAGTTCATTAGATGGGTCATTTACAGGAGGAGATATCATTCTGACTTGATTCCATGTATTTTTAAGTTTAACAAACAATTCTGAAAAGAAATCTGAAATTTAAAACTTGAGTGATAGGTTCTACAGTAGATCTAATTGAATGGTAGACCCTAGGATACCTTCTTTTAGCAACCGTGAAAATATGTGAGCCAGGTTTATTATTACTTTTAACATTTATTCAATGTAGCACAATTATTAGAAGACAGGAATGAGATATATTTGGATAATAGAATATGCTAGGAATACCACTGTACAGGCATACCTAGATATTTCTTATGATCCCAGTATGCCTGTCTCTAGATGTCCATTTAGTCTCCTTCTAGAATCCAGATTGGTTCTAAATTGTACCACCGTTTGATCCTCCTGGTGATGTTAATAGTACTGTAATGTGTGTGTACATCTCTGTATTTTTCTGTATTAAGTTGATAACTGGCTTCAATTTTTTATTCCTTCTCTCATACATGGAAAACTCCTGATCTCCAATATCATATGAATGTTATATTTCTTACAATACATAGTGGCTTCTAAGTTTAATGAGACTGCAAGAATATTTCTGGGCGACCATGTTACATTAAAGAGTGACAATTCCATTACGGCCAATTACCATGTGTGTTTTAATCAAATAAGTTCGCACCCTTTTCTATCTGTAATTGTCTTTGCCATTCATTATCTGTTAAATTGTTTGGAGAGGTAAGGAAGTTTCACATTGTATCACCTATCTCTAAAAAATACACTCTAGATATGAGTAAGGCTTTATAAAATAAAGCACTTTTGATTTGCTAGGAAACTCTGTCTCCTTGTATTTGTATCCTTTGGACATTTATGTAGCAAATCCATAATAGCTCAAATTCTCATTGATTTACAGTTGATGGAATATCTTCCCTAAGCTTTGATATTAAATGTATTTTATGGTACACCATAATATTTATGCTAACTTGAAACTGAGGACTATTCGAAGTTCATGATGGCAAATTGAGAGAAGATCTTTAAGGCCCTCCACTTTGTTGGCGAATGGAACTTGAAGGTAACTTACTATGAAGAAGGGGAATTAGTTTTCTGTAGAAATGGAATTATGTGTCATTATGAAAATGTGCATATAAAGGTTTAGCTGCACAATGCAATTCTGTTAAAATAGCTTGGTTGATCCAAATGAGCTTATAAAGCATAATAAATATGTACAGCTACATTGAAAAAGTTTGTTTAAAAAAATACTAGGAAAATATTCATTAAAATCCCCCAAGTTGAAACATACACACCAGAAAGGGGTATTGATAAGATATCTAAAGCAGTCTCCATTCTAAATACATATGAAATCAAAGTCTGCCCCAAAGCAGAAGATGAAATTCTGATCAAGGCTCTAAACAGTAAGTCTGTATATAAAACCCACATGTAACTTATTCCATTTTTCTTTTGAATCAGAGTCATTTATGAAATGCCATACATTTACATAAAATGTTAGTCCCACTTGGATGCTTGGTTTTTTGCTCCTATTTTTATTCATTTTTCCTTGTCTCATATTTCCTCTTTCATTTAAAGCTTACTTCACAGATCAAGAAAAATGGGGATGGAACAGAATAATTCCAGTAGTATTGGGGTTTTTTCTGCAATGACTAATCAATAAGTTGTCCCTATATTTGTAGTCTTTGCATTTTCCTAATAATTGCTGCTGACTCCATAGGAGAAACTGTTGTGCTTTTCCTATATTCCCCATGGATATCATCAAAACGAGAAGTGATAGAAGTTAACATGTTCTTCATTTGAGCCAGGTGACATGGGTAACTCCAGGAAACACTTGCCAATAATTCTGCTATATAGTCATCTAAAAAAAAAAAAAAAAACTGGTGTATTACATTCGAAATATAGATCCCCTCTTGTGTGTGTGGTTTTCTGTAATAGACCTGCAGTTCAGAGCACTGAGACTTTGTCACTCTGACTATGACAGTGGTATCAGCCACATGTTTCTATCTCTGACTTTTCAAATTAGGCCACGTGTTATGAAGAGAATGAATTTGCCACTTAAAAGTCAGAAATTCATTATAATTACCACATACCTCTTAATTTAATTATGTTTAAGCCACATGTTTAAAAAATGAAGTTCCTCTGCATTCATGATTTTCTTTGATTTTAAAACACCAATTTCTCCATTTGGTTAAGAAAAATATATTACCTGAGAAATATTCAAGAAAGATCAATAATATCTTAAAAGAAAATACTATTTCCTACAATGCATACAGTACTAGATAAATCTGGTATTTAGCAGTAGCGTACATGGCTTTCAAAACGGGTAAAATAGTTCTAAATGGGAATCTAAGGATTGGATGGAAATTTGAGGGTTGGTAGCAATATAACTCTGGACGCCAGTGTTAGCTACCTGCAACAGAACAGCTATCAAGAATGAGGCCCAACAGATGTTTATTAACTATATAACATTCATGCTTTTGGCCATGGTGACTGATGGTGCTGGAAGATTCAGCCGTTCTTGTGCTACAATTTCCTGTTTTTTCTCTAGAAAACAACTGCAAACTGGAAAACTCCATAGACTCTTTTTTTGTTTGTTTGTTTGTTCTTTTATTTAGAAAGAGGTTTTGGCAGACTAGTCCAAGGCAAAGAGAAATCTAAAAGTTAGCTTGGTTTCTTTATAGATGCCAAGAAAGTTTCAGTATGTGTTTAGTTATTGAATTTCTATAATATCCAAATCCAAGCTCTGTTATTTCTTTTTATGCATTTATCGGGAAATTATTTCCAAGGTGTTCATGCTTAAATCAACCAATAACAAAATAAACTAGACTAAAAGCAAACATTCATACATGAAGTAAAGTAAAATGGCCATTAAAAGCAGGCTTAAAATAGTATAATCCTAAATCTTTAAATCCTAGAGGAATAAAATATTTAAAATCTCTTCTTGGGGAAATACATGTACTGAAGCTGATAAAATGCAGAGTTGATTTGGTAACACATTTGTTTCTGCCACACAAGTGAGATGCTCCAGCAGACTGATATGACATAAAACAGATCCTGTCAGAGGATCACAACAAATTGCCCACAGATTGCTGTGCTTTTCAGCTTATGAATTGCTAAAAGACAAGTCTTCATTCTAGGAGGCAGTACTTTCTCATAAATCACAGGATATGGGAGAAAAATACTGTCCTTTAAATAGAATTTATCATAATGCAGAATCTAATTGCCCCATTGAGTAGATCAAGGCTACTTAGAGGTCCAATGCTCATTGGAAGAACTGACAGCTCCTGATAGCTCAAGACTCAAGGGTCTCATCTGACCATATCTTTGACAAATATTTTGAAGTAGTTGATTTAGCAATCACCAACTGTAGCTGATCAAATTGATAAGGAAAGTAGCTGTCAGCTCCATCCCACCGGGCTGCCATTCGGGTGGCGGGGGGGAGAGAGAACCAGCCACAGGAAAAGCCACCCAGAGCCCGACACCAATGTAGTTGCTGCATTCCAGCCACAGATGAGACCGGAATCATCCCTGAAACCCCAATACCATCTCGCTAGGCTGTGAAATGCCACAGACCCATGACGAAACAGAACACAGCCATTTCTTCTGCCGATTCATTGTTGGGAGGAGACCAGCTGACATTCAGTGCAATATGCAAATGTCATTGGTGACAAGGCCACAGGAAATTGGAAATGGCAAACCACCATTGCTGGCTGACATGAGGAGGCTGCAAGCAGGGGGTGGCCTGGGGGGGGCCATGGGGTGGAGCTGAGAAGGGAAGCAGGAACCTTTAAAAAGTGGTGGGGAGCACAGAGCAAACAGAGTTGACAAATGTTTTCATCTTCATGGGTGTTTGTCGAAGCGTGCCGGAGTGCTATATAAAGATTCATCACAGCAAGCCTGTTTGAATTGTTTTCTTTACTGGAGAGAGCCAGAACCTGACAGTAGCTTCATAAGAACATATACCCTACAATATAAATTAACACAATGATTATAGAAGGGCTGTGGCTCGGTAATGTGCACAAACAGACATACATACTACTAAATTTCTCTCTCTTAACATTTAATTGGGCAAAACAGGACATCAATGGACAACAGTTTTTGAATCAAAATAGCTCAGATGGGCTAACTTACAGAATGTACAATATCTGGAAGACATGACTATTATGGAATTGAAATTTCACAACTTTTATAAAACATTTCGTGACATAAGTATCCTAAAATACAATAAAAATGCAAAACACTTCCTGTACTGCTTTTTGCTGTACAGTTCAACCTGGGCTATTTTCAAGGCATCTCTGAATATATTCCAGCTTTTCCAGCAAAGGAAGTACTTTAAAAAGTTCTGTCACTGTTGAGGCATTGAGGAATCTGGTAAGAAAATGTCTCTGAAACTATAACCAAAGGGATCACAGGTTGTCTAGTATACTTATTATAAGGTTATTTAGGCTTCTGGCTTGATGTCTAAAGCCGTTATAGTTTCTTTAACAAAACACAAGCAAACCATGACTGACTGAATGCGAGCATTAACTATTTGCAAGTAAAATAATTTGGATTCAATCTGTACCCAGATGGTACAATCCATCCTTGGTCTGTAAATATTCCTAGTTCATCCACGGTTGCTTACAAATGATTCAGAGGGATCCTACCTATTTCTTGATCTGATATTCTGAATAGAAGAGCCCTATCCAGCCTAGGCACCATGCTGCTGTACAGTACAACCTTAAATTATTAGAATTTCAGGATTCTGGGAACTGAAGTCCACACATCTGGAGAGTATCCAGGATGGGCAAAGAATATGTGGAAAATACTGAGTAAGATAAGCCAATTCGTTGTATAAGACAAAATGAGCATGCATTACCTGAGATGTGGCCCTGATCTCGCCATCTTTTATCTATCTGAAAAAAACTGTGTTTTTACATCTTCATGTGTTAACTTTTTAAATAATGTATTTACTGACATTTTTAATAGATTTACTAAAAACAAATACAAGCTTATTTAAAAGATAAAAGTAATAAACTTAAAAATGTGCAAGAGAAAGAAAAATTCTCCAACATAAGCTATCATAATAAGATGTTACGTGTAAGTTGGCTGCAAAACACCCAAATTGTGACAAGGGATTTTGCAACAGTTATTTCTTCAAGGCCTGACTACAAATTCCTCTGTTCAGCACTGCCATAACTTTGAATGGTCACTGAACAAATGGATGTGAGTTGAGGACTACCAGTATGGATTTTATTTCATTTCAGTTGTTTCCTGTGGGGGTATTATTTAATTACTGGTATGCAGTTGCTTTTCAAATCTTACAACAAAAGTGCAGCTTCATCTAGTCTCCTATCCCATTTTTATTAAATCAAAAACTTTTTGTTGTTTGCTTTTTGTCAATTATATTTTATTTTTACACTCTTAAATATCTATTTAAAATTCAAAGAAATATCAAAGAAAGAACATGAAACTCACTATGTTAAACTCAGCATTTGAAGGTCGCAAATATTTGTGAAATAGTTAAATAGATCATTCTCAGAAATGTTCAGAAAATGAATGGAGCTGGTTTAGTGTCCTTGTTAAAGTCTCTACCAGAGCTGAGAAGGAGATTCCATCTTCCGTTGTTCAGTTCCACAGAGACCATTATTTTAAGCTCCTCCCCCTCATGAAGAGCTGTCATGTATAGAGTACTTGTGGGGAATATCTTATCTTTTTCAGGAGAAGTTCTGAAAGACCAGTCTACCTGCTGGTCCTTTAATTTTCACCACATTTGCAGAAATGTCTTCAGTCAGCCATGACTTACCAAGAAGCCATATCTTCCTGTATTACGATGATTTAGTTGAT